TTATAAGATACAGTCTCAAAAGCTGAAGAAGCCAATTCCTGCTCCTTTCTGTTTCTAGATTTGCCTTTCCTAGTTTATATTTCCTACTTATTTTTCTGACTAGATTATGCAAGTATAAATGTAGTGATTTGAAAATGCATCACTCCTGAAATTATCTCGACTATTTTCTTTGCAAGGATATTTTTTAAAGTACCTGAGGATATTCAATATCCTCGGTCCCCTCCCCAGAGGCACCCATTAGTAGTAGATAATTAGTATATCCTTTCAGGAATATTGTAAGTACATATGTACATATGATATTCAACTTCTCTCCAAAAGGCAGCACATTTTACAAATTTCTTTTTATGTCACACTTTTTTTTCCTTCTTTACTCTATATTTTAGAGATTATTTACTGTTAAGATTTGTAGCTCTGGGACCAGCAGATGACTTAATGGTTACATCACTAGACTCCCACAGTCAACTGTGGTTCAAGTCCTGAACCAGGTGACTTAAAACTCATGCTGGGTGCATGTGCATGTGTACACCAAATCCTGAGAGAACAGAGAAGAAGGGATTGAGGTGTGAACATCCCTCTAGGGGGTGATTTCTCACTTTCTGTCTCTTTGTCTCTCTCTATCTTTCCAGTGAGCACACACACCCTATAGGAAAAAATCTTTCTCTCTAAAGAAAAAAAAGATTTGTAGCTCTGCCTTAGTCTTTTTCCATGTATCATAATATTCCATCATGTGACTAAACAATAAATTAATCTGACCCTACTTAAGGAACATTAGTTGGTTTTCAGTATTTTTTGTTTTAAATAAAAATGATGGTACAGCATAAGTGTTTGTATATATATATTTTTAATTTGGAAAGATTTTTGCCCCTCATGAGGGATGGTCATGCCCCCAAACCTTTTCCTCCATTTTCCTCCTAGGATCTTAGCCATGTAGGAGTCCAGTGATGTAACCACTAAGTCATCTGCTGGCCCCAAGTTTTTGTATTTTTGTGAAGGCAAATCTACGAAATAAAAATCCTAAAAGTGAAATTGCTGAACCAAATTAAAAATTTTGTGAGATGGTATCAGATTACACTTCAGAAAAGTTATATGTGATAGATATATGTCCTAATCTCTATAATTTGTAAATATTGGGTCATCAGAAAAGTTATGATATGTTTTTGCATAGAAAAAAACACATCATGACTTTTCCGATGGCCCGATATATTACCTTATGTGGTAAATGGAACATTAAGATTGTCAATGAGACATTAAGGTTGTAAATGAAATTAAAGTTGTAATCAGCCTACTTTAAAAAAGGAAAATCATTGGAACTAATAGATAGCATGGTGGCTAAGACACTGGACTCCCCCAGGGCTGACTGTGGTATAAGTCCTGGACCTGGAGGCTTACTTTCTCATTTTCTGATATAGTAAATTAAATAATACTCACCATAAATAAAATTAAATAAATCTTTTTTTAAAAAAGGGAAAATCATCCTGGATTATCTGAATGGCTCCGAAGTCATCATAAAGGTGCTTAAAAGTAAAGGACTAAGGGACCAGCAGATAGCCTAACGGTTATGTCACTGGACTCCCACATGGTTGACCGTGGTTTGAGTCTCGGACCAGCAACTTGAAACTCTCGCTGGGTGTGTGGGCGTGTATGCCCAAAATCCAGAGAGGAGACTAGAGAAGAGATTGCAACATGACCATCCCCCCTGGGGGGGTTGATTTCTTGCTTTCTATCTCTGTGACAAGTGCACCCACCCTATAGCAAAAATCTCTTTAAAAAAAAAAATCAGAAAGTGAAAGACTGAAATGGAGAGATGGCAGCATGAGAAGGACTGGACTCAGGGTTGCTGGAGGAAGGGAGCTTTGAGCCAAGAATTCTGAGCAGCCTCTAGAAGCTGAAAAGGCAAAGAAGCAGAAAAGGCAAGGAATGCAGCCCTGCTGGCACTTCAATTTTAGCCCTATGAGATCTGGACTTCTAATCACAAAAACTGTAAGATAATAACATTGTCGGAAGTTTGTGGTAATTTGTTATAATAACATAGAAAACTAATCCAGTACATGTATTTATAGTCTCACTAACAATGTGTGTTCCTCCACATCCCTTCCACTAGTGCTTTCTTTTTTTTCATCATTTCTTCCCCACATATGACTACTCCCATTTTTTGAAAAAAAAAAAGTTTATGATTTTGTGTCTTATTATTTTTTGTTGTTGTTGTTGTTAAAAGGAAACTCCTAGCTATAATGATCTGATTGTATATTCTTACTCTTTGCTAATTCACACTGGAAAATTTCCAATTGGGACGTGTTTCATTTTCCTGCCTAGGGCTAGGATGCGAGGAGGATGTGTCATTTCTGCAATGCTGATGTTACTGCTGATGAAGCTGCACTGCAGAAACACTCCGAGAATAGAACTTGTTGTCGGGTTCTGTTTGCTGCCACCAAGAGGTACCTACACAGGCAATAAAGCCCTCTTCTTGAGTTGGTGACAGTCCAGTCCTTGAATGCCTTTGTTTGGCCTCCTGCAGGGATGGCAGCCTCATTAATTACTTTGCATGATGGGTTAGCCGCATTGTGTATGTTAGTAAGTTCTACATCTCATGGCAGCGGGGAGCCTCAGGTAACCAGGTGGGGGAAAATAGCAGAATGTAAATATTCCTCATCAATTCATTTAATATCCCCATTGCAGAGTAGCAGAAGCAGCAGTGCCTATCCTTTGTTATGCCACATAATTTAGTTTCCCTCATGTGGGGGACTTCCCCTTTCTCAGGTACATTAACTTCTACAGACTGGCTTCACCATTTCCGAACTTAACATCTGTTCAAAGATATTTACTGAGTAAGGGCTGGCAGGTGGCATGGTGGTTAAAGGCACTGGACTCTTCACATGGCCAATTGTGGTTCTAATCCTAGACCTGGTGGCTTGCTTTTTTCCACTTTCCCTCTCTCTTTCTGATCAAAATTAGAAAATAATAATAAATAAAAAAGTTAAATAATTATTTAAGATAAAAGGATATCTACTGAGCATCTGCTGTGCTGGGTATTTAGGATACAAACACTTAGCCATGTAGAGTTTACAGATTCTGAAGACAAACAGTAATTGCCAATCACAGGAACAAATATAAAACTATTGTACAATTGCTACAAAGAGGACATGTGTGTATGTATTATTATATATGTATGAAATTCTACCTTGTCAGAGGAAGCCAAAGAGAGATCTGGACTGGGCCGGCAGATGGCGTGGAGATTAATGTGGCTGGATGGATCTCACATGGCTCACTACATGGCTTGAGCCCCAGACCCTGCAACTTGAAAAACATATCCGAGGTGTGTGTGTGTATGTTTGTGCGCATGTTCAAAATCCCAAGAGGTGAATGGAGAAGGTACTTTCTCATTTTCCCTGTCTCTGTATCTGTCTCTGGCAAGCACACATGCTCTATAGCAAAGAGAGAGAGGGAGGGAGGGAGAGAAAGAAAGATCTGGATAGAATATGTAAATGTGTTACTTTTTTTTTTGTTTGGAGAGGTTTTTGCCATAGGGTGCGTGTGCTCACCAGACAGACAAAGAGATATAGAGAGACAGAAAGCGAGAAATCACCCCCCAGGGGGGATGGCCATGCCGCAATCCCTTCTCCTCCATTCTCCTCTCGGGATCTTGGGCATGCACACACATGTGCCCAGTGTGAGTTTTAAGCCACCGGGTCTGGGACTTGAACCACGGTCGACTACATGGGAGTCCAGCGACATAGCCATTACACTAACTGCTGGTCCCTAAATCTGTGTTACTTTGTACATACATTGAATGACACCCTAAGTAAAGGGTATAGAGTGAGGAGAGAAGGAAAGGATCTAGAAACATTGCTTAGTCAGAATAGGATAAACAGAGACAGAGAATGGCTAGAGTTGGAGGAAAACTAGAAGATGGCTGTGCCCTATAAGCCAGGAAGGGAGAGTGCAGTCAGATCAAGAATTAACAGTAGGAAGAACAAAGGATGAGACATTGAGGGGTCAACTGGAGGTCTGTGTTGCAGGGTTGCAGGTACAGTGGTGTAGGAAGGCCTATGTGGATTCATAGGTTACTACTTCCCTTACTAGCTGCATGGCATTGAGCAAAAGATTGGCTTTAAATCTGCGTGTTTAGTAGGGAGATAACTTCTCCCTCAGAGAATTAGTGTTGAAATTAATTAGCATTATGTACTGTGCCTAGCACATTTGATTCCTCCTTTCATTATACCTCTAGCTACTTATGTCTTAATCTGCTTGGTCTGTCACCCTCCTGGATGTCTTAACATTGGTGTTGGTGACTTACCTGTGATGGATGATCTATGCAGTTCCTGTCTTCATATATCACTATACTATTCTGGCTACCGGCAAGCTGTGGAGAGGTGACAAATCAGTGCTCTGGACTGCACAGGGAGCCAGGTACCCACCAGTGTATCTCTTGGTATGGAAAGGGACAGAGCACTAGGAATTGGATGTGGACCCTACATACCCTTCATCACACTGAGTTTTTCCCTCTTAGGGGAAAGGAACTCCCGTTCCTTGCCGGGGTCCAGCCTCGGCGTGGGTGGGTTATCTCGACGGAGGCAGCAAAGGTGAATAGAAGACAGAGGCCTCGATGCTTTCATGCACGTCCTATGCCGGACACACCTCAAAGATCGCTCTCTGAGGAGTGATCTTGTCTCAGGACATCTTTCTACACTGTTACCAATTATATAAATTTCTAGTGCAAAATATTAGTAATAAATGACTCAGCATAATTTAGGATTTTTTTTTTTCCAGACAGCATTGGCTTTCCCTGATTTTTCAGACTGACTAGAAGCAGCCATTTCTTCCTCCCTTCCTTCATTTTTGTTGATCAAATACAGTGAATGGAAAGAAATGGGATTTCCCTGATCGCTGAGGCTCGCTCTGACGATTTTCACAATGTAACTGTGGCTGTGGCAAATACAGTAACTACCGACCCGGAGGTAATGTAATTCAGGGCTTACTCTAGATTAACTAAACCCCTCAAAATGCTGAATAATGCTGTGAAGAGAGAGACTGAAAAATATTGTTGTTGCTAACATGGGTTACTTATCTTTTACACCTCTGTAAGAATTATCCTTGTATTTCTAACTAGCACACACTTTACCTTGTTATTGATGGCTGCCATGTTTTCTGAGCCAAACATTAGGATAAAACATGTAATAAACAAGAGTATCTTTGGGAAAAGGCAACTATATTAAATCGGAATCATTACAGAAACAGGACTTGAGGGTCGTGTAACTCCTAAAAATGGTTAGTAATTAAATAATAAAGGAGCTATGATCTCGTTCTACGTATAGAAAGGAAACTAAACATTTTGGTATAGTGATTAGAAACATTAACGAGAGTCGATAGAAAGAAAACTGGGGCTTTTCGCATCTCCTGATCAGTCGGGCACTCCAGGGACTCCAGGGCCCGGCCAATCTCCCGCTAGGGCACCGCCTGGGGGCGGACACCGAGCCTGGCATTCTGAGCAGCGCACTGTGGGGCACGCACGCCTGCGCTGTGGCCTCGCTGGCGTTCTAGAGTAAGGTTGCTAGTTTGAGTGTCCATGGCAACGCGACGCTTCTGCCTTCTGGAAGCCTGCACTCCAGCTCCCCGTTGTGAGAGACTGTCCCTGTGGGAGGGACCCGGTCTGGAGGGGGAGGGGAGGGAGGACAGATGGGGGAAGAAAGGGGTGAGGGGCTAGGGACTCTTCTGGGAACATTTGCCTTAGGGATTGAGCCACGCTAAGAAATACTGGTCCAAGACCCAGCCCAAAAGGATCTTTTCATTCTTGTCCTTTCGCCTACACAGGGAACAATGCCTCTGGAGGTGGTGGTAGAGCTGCAGATCCGGGCGGTAAGGAATCAACAAACCTTTCTCCTTAAACCCAAGTCAGATTCTTAAATGGCCCCACCCCCATTTATTAAGGGTATTTTCTTTTAGGACAAATCATACCTTTGACACTAGGATTTTCTATACTGGTCTTGCTGGACTTTCTAAGACCTTAAATTTAGCTAAAACTGTTCTGACTTATTTCTTTTTCTAAGTCAACATATTTCTTGGAATTATCTTGAAATTTTCTGTTCTTTTAAAATTAAGTCCAAGTAGAATTTTCTCTTCTTATCCAGGAATAGATTTGTGAAAAGATTTATAAGTTTATCCTTTATTTGTTTATTTTTAAAAAGGATTATTTATTTAATTCCACTTGTCAGTACTGTTTTTCAATTTGACCATAAAGAGGCAGAGAGAGAGAAAGCGAGAAAGCAAGCCACCAGGTCTGGGACTCGAACCCCAGGCACTCACGTGGGGATCCAGCCTCTTTAACCACCACACCACCTGCCAGCCCCGAACTTTAAATAACCAGGAAATACTTTAATTTTTAAAAGTTCAATCACTTTTTGATTATTTGCTACCTCTATGAACCATTCAAATAATTTTTATTTCCCTTAAAGATGGCTCAGTTGGGTATTTCCATAAAGGAAGTCAATCAATCAACAAATGTTTTATAATTATCCACTGTCTTCTTAAGTGAGGTGCTCTAGCAGATTGACTCTGTTACTCCTATTTGAGGGTTAGTCATTCTTTTTATTTCAGCTTCCCGTTTTCCAGTCCTTCCATCTGTAGTGACATACTGTCAGGCAAGTTTGTCTTCATACTACACAGGGCTTCTCTACTGGTTAAGGTTACAAGCACAATGCTGACAGGACTACCATGGAGTATTTAGTTCACGTCTATACGAATGGCAAGTGTTACGGTTTCATCATACATGTGGCTGTGAAACAAAGGTGATCAAAATTTCCTGATTTGTCTCATTTTGCTGACAGCAAACAGTACCAGACCTATCAACAATGTTATATCAATTACAACCTGTCTAAATTGTGTAGGAAGACTAAGAAACCTTTGAGAAGCTGCGTAATATAAATCAGTCTCCTTTCTCATCATGGCAAAAATTAAACAAGCTTTTTTTTTTTTTTGAGAGATTTTTGCTATAGGGTGCATGCACTCGCTGGAAAGACAAGAGAGGGAAAAACAGCGAGAAATCACTCCCCAGGAGCAAGCTGCCGAATCCGAGACTCAACCACAGTCAGCTATGTGGGAGTCCAGCAATTACCAATATGCCATCTGCTGGTCCCTCAGATTAAACAAGTTTTTAATCTCACGTCATTCAATATTATTGGCTAATTTTATTTTGATTTTTAAAAGGCATTCCTCAGTGTACAGTTAACGAGTTTTCTACTCTATAGTATTTGGGCTCCAAAAATGTCAGGTGAATTGATTTGTGCTTTAAAAGTCAACAAGCTCAGGCTCCAGCAACTAAAATGGGGAATTTCAGAAGTATAATTGTGAACCAAAAGGTAAGCTAATTTCAAACCCCCAATATTCAGACTTATGAACACGGCAAGAGAAGATAATATTGCTTGCAAATATCTGGCTTGATTACTGCTGTGTTTAAAATAAAGGATGGCTCTTAAAGTTAAACCACCCAGACCACTTAGAACTTCACAGTTTGGCTTATTTAGCAGGTGAAGAGGTAGTTGGTGCTCAGGGTGTTGTGAGAATGCAGATAATTTTATTTTGAGGAATAGCTGTTTTCTTTCAGTGTGCCCCTCACTTTGATAGGTTCTATCCATTCAGCAACTACATATCATAGCCATTCTCCAGGTTCTTAGCCACACCTCTGTGTGTCAAAGTACATGAATAGTCCTTTCTGTAGAGGCTAAAGTAGTTGGTCACTAAGAGTATCTGAAAACACCAGCTCCATGGATAACTCAGACATTTTCTTTTCGGGTAGGGCATCATTTAAAGCATATACTCTCTTTAGACTTTCTGGGTCAAAGAATAACGAGCAGTCTACCCTGCATTTAGTGATCTTTGGTCTTAGGATTTGGGGAGGCACCATGGATAAACAGCTTTAAATGTAAAGGTCAGTGTAAACAGAAATTTAGGACTTAAACCTTAAGCTTGAGATAGCAGCATGATGAATTCAAGTTAAATACTGTTAATTAAAGTGTTTATACAGAAAATTCCTGTATTCCATCTATAATTCCATATGAAAAACTAGAGTATGCAGGGTCATCCTTTTGGTATATATGAGAAAGGTTATGCTGTGGCACTGAAAAGAATCACATTATTAGTATTTTTTTTTCATTTAATCTCCTTGATATAGGAGCATTATCCTTTATTTCATAGAGATGACAGGAAGCAGGGCCCCACTTTCTGCCGTCCTGGTCACAGACATAATATGTGGTCAGCCTATCCAAACTCTCAGGTCCTCTGACTCCCCAGCAACTTGGCATCTCTGCCCTATGTTACGGCATGTTACTGGTGGTCAGCAGAATTAAGCGTGAAGCTATAGTCTCATCCTTCCTTGTCTATGGGCACGCTCACCTTTGAAGTAGTTCTTCTTTAATTCTTGGCTTATTCTCTGAATGCTAGAAGATAGATATTACAGAATAGTGAGAAATAAATATCCATTTAAAAATCTGGAGGGGTAGAAAGAGGAAAGACAAGTCCTATAATCTCTTTTCTCAAGACCCAATCCACAAAGATGGAAGAGATAATGAAGTAAAACAGCTTACCAAGAAAATCAGGATTAAGATGAAATCTCCCCAACTGTGGCAACAGATCTTCAGGGAATAAACTAGAAAAACCTATGCCTTACACTTTTAAAGTACTGATTATAATCTACCTCAGGAAGAGGACTAGAATTACTACTTGGTTTATCTGCATGTACATTTACAGAATGAAGCTGTCTCTTCCTCAAAATTCAATATACAAGTGATATGGTGACTTATGGGATTACTACAAAACACAAATCTGACTGATGTTAACTTTTAAAAAACAGCCACAGTAACTACCCCAGCTTGGTTTCTTTACAGTTGTCATGGAAATATAAATCACCGTTGAATAAATAAACAAATAAGAGATTCTTGTTTTCCTTCCTAATATGGCTGTGTTCAGTAATGGCCAGCACGTGCTCCAAGCCTAGCAACACAAGATGGTGGGACACCTAAAATCCCAAAGGAAATCTGAAATGTCTTAAGAGGGGCAAGCTGATGGCTGCTGGTTAAGGTTGGCGTTCTCCAGTGTGGAAACCTTCAGACTTCCTGATGCCTTAAAGATGGTGTCACTGTTGATTCCATAGCACAAAGAGGACTGGAACACTGTGGGGTGAGAGCCAGCAGTAGTCCACGATGCTGTACTGCATGTAGCCCAGCAAAAAGCCGAAAGCCACGTCGGTGACATTGTGCCGCCCCAGCATGACCCTGGAAAGGCCCAAGATGAAGGCCCACAGTACCACCAGCACCCTCAGTGGAATGGCCAGCACCAAGTGGTTCAGGATGAACCGAGATACCAGGGCAGCCCTGGTGGCATGGCCCGAGGGAAAAGAGTATTTGTCCACTGAGAGGGTGACAAACATGTCCATCTGGTTGTGAGCCGGGCGGCGCCTGCGGACCAGCCCTTTGATCAGAGCCACCAGCAGCAGGTCCAACAGCAAGGCGAAGAGCAGGTTCATCAGCACCTCTCGACCGGCCCAGCTGTCGCTCTTGGACAGGCAGTAGAGGGTGCCCAGCAGCCAAGGGATGCCATGTCCCGAGATTTCCAGTAGCTTCATCAGAGGCCGCACGCTGCCCCAGGATGAGCTTTCCACCGCGCACACCCCCAGTTTCTTGGACAGCCACAGGTCGATGGCCAGTAGGGAGCGCAGGGCGATGCCCAGGAAGGACGGGTTCAGGTCCATGCGGTCCTCCTCGGGCAGCGGGGCCGAGGGCGCCTGCAAGGGGCCGGCTGCTGCCAGGGGGAAAGAGCCCCGGCGGTGCACCGGGCTCTCGGAAGCGCGGAGCCGGGCGCTGGTGGGGTCCTTGCCTGGGGCGCGGCTGCTGAGCAGGGACTGGAATTCGAACCTGCTGCTGCCGCTGCCCTGTTGCTGTTAGGGCCCAGCAGCCGCCCCTCCACGCTCCTCCGGGGACTCGGCATCACGGCCGCGGCCCGACCCCGGGACCCGGTGGACTAAAGAGCGCCTTCTCCGCCCTGCAGCCTCTTCCGCTTCCGCACTGCCATCCTGGAGGGGCGGGGAGCGGAGCCCGCCAGAGCGCGATTGTGACACCTGGCGGAGACGTGAGGAGGAATTGGAAGCCGCCAGGGTGGAGTGTATCGCTTTTAAGGGTTCGGCAGAAAGTGCTCAGAAGTTACCTGTTTCTGAAGGGCTAGGATTGTATATAATACTTTCATAAATCATAACCTATTATTTTAAATAAAAAAGTACCAAACTGGTTATATGAAACAGGAGAGAAATAAATGGCCAGTAGCCTGGGTCGTATCATCAGAATCCAAAGGAAAACACTCTCACATTTAGATGTTGGAAGCTGTGAAAAGTAGATGTAGGCCCCCTCCTCAATTTTCTCTCCCCCCCCCCATTGCCTGAGGGCTTGTGTGTTTGCCAGGCAGACAGACAGACAGACAAGTAGAAACAGAGAAAGCACTCCCTCCCTTCCCCCAGTGGGGAGAGGAGAGGGAGGATGTGGCTACTGGAAATTACAGGTCACCAGTGGGGTGATGGGGGATAATTTCAGTAACTGGGAGGGTGGGAGGCTAGGGGAACTAATGGCCTTGTTTAAGAAAACAAAACAAAACAAAACAAAATCTGCTCCCTCTGGTGTTTCCTCTTTGTTTGTTTGTTTGTTTGTTTATTTATTTATTTATTTATATTTTTTACAAAGGTTTCTTGCCCAGGTGTGTTCCTGCCTGGCAAGCAAGATGTATACCTTGGGGTCTATCTCCTGAATCAGTACCTGGAGACAAACTGCTTTCCTTCTGTGTTCCCTATTGTGATCCAGCAGAGCATGAGATTTCAAAAGGTGATTTTTTTTTTTTTTTTTTACTTTCTTCTTGGTTTTAATAGATCTTAGAAAGAATACAGTTCTTATAAAGTCATTTTGTAAATTTTCTTTTATAAGTTTACCCGAAGTTACCTCAATATGGTACGGAATTAGTCAACCTTGAAGCAAAACTACAGTTGAAGGACCTGCTTTTTGCATTGCAAGTCTCAGCCAAGTTCTGCCAATCTAGTGCTAAATACCCTGGTCAATGTTTTCTATTCTTGGAACTCCCATGGCATTTTCTAACTGGAGCAGAGAGAGCATTTCTGAATGTTCTTGGAGGTGTTAGAGGCTGTTACATTCCATTTATGATAGAGATTGTCAATATACACTTGTGGACCTTAGTAAAACACAACATCAACAACAACTTTAGACCCAGGGAAATAATGAAAAACGACAACCAAATTAGTTAAGTCCTGATTCTGAAATCTCATGACAATCAGAAGACTCTTCTGATGTATTGGGTTTTCTAAGGTCATGTCTTATTTATTTAGTTGCAGTGATAAAGTCTATTCCATTCCGGTGGATATGACTGTGATATAAATAGCCAAACATTACCAATCTTCTTCCCTCTCTAGTATTTAGAAGAACAGCAATTACTGTGTGATTGCTGACAATCCCTTGAAGTTTTTGTTTTGGAATTTGGAGATTTATTATTACTACTTTTAGAAGTTTTTTTCTTTGTTTGTTTTGCCATAGGGCACGTGCACTCCTGGAGAGACAGTGAGAAGGAAAGTGAGAAATCGCCTCCCAGGGGAGATGGGCACATCATCGTTTTTCCTCCATTCTCTTTCTGGGATTTTAGGCACACACAAATGCCTGGTGTGAGTTTTAAGCTTCCAGGTCGGCCATGTGGGACATAATGTCTTAACCACCACACCACCTGCTGGCCCTTTTGAAGATTATTTTAGTCCACTGTCTGTTATATAAAAATTGAATAACACTTTGGGTAACTTATAAGAATACATATTTAATTAGCTCACTTCTTTGGAGGTCTAAGGCCAAGCATCTACTCTTATAAAGCTATCAGGAGTTATGGGAACCTGCCCTTGTGACCCCAGGTGTGTCTCAACACTTCCCAAAGGCCTCACCTTTCTTTTTTTTCTTTCTTTTTTTTTCTTTCTTTTTTTGAGAGGTTTTTGCTATAGGGCGCGTGCACTCTCCAGACAGACAGAGAGAGACAGAGAGATAGAAAGCGAGAAATCACCTCCCAGGGGAGATGGTCACACTGCAATCCCTTCTTCTCCATTCTCCTCTTGGTATCTTGGGCACACATGCACACGTGCCTGTCGTGAGTTTTAAGCCACTGGGTCTGGGACTCGAACCGTGGTCGACTACATGGGAGTCCAGCGACATAGCCATTATGCTAACTGCTGGTCACCCAAAGGCCTCACCTTTCAACACAATAGTTGAATTAAGTGTCCACCCTTTCAGCACCATTACTATGGCTCACTACATGAATTTCTGGGGACACATTCAAACCATGGCTGATATGGAATCCATTTTTCATTTCTTTTTAATTTTTTATGGGGCACACATGCTTGCTGGAGAGACAGAAAGAATGAGAGAAACTGAGAAAGCACCCCCACCTTATAGAGATTGCCAAACTACAGTCTCTTTTCTTCCATTCTCTTTTAGGAACCTCAGATGTCCATGGATGTACCTTAAGTCTCTCTCTCTTTTTTAAAATTTATTTTATTTAAATTTATTTATTTGCATTAATTTACTGTACATCATTACAGCATAAAAATTAGATTCTCCATCGAGAGTACACTGTATATTGGCTCAATCAAGCACATCAACATACACGTTATCGTCAACAAATAATTTTCCATTTCTTATTTCCTGTATGTTTTCCTTTTTTTCGCATCTTTGATTCCCTATCTCTTACCCTCTGCCATTTCCCACTCTCCTCCCTACTCTGTCTCTGGTATCTGTGTTTGCTCTCTATACTTTTTTCCCCCCACATTTTATTGAGTCACTAAAGATCTTAATTAATCTAAATAGTTCCATAGCAAGCACAGCTGATATATACATTTCCATGAACACAAGTCCAACTTTAGGTGTAAGCCTCGGTGAGTAGAATGAACATCCTATAAAGTAGATACTAGCTAGGGCTATATATCTTACTGCAGTCATCGAATAGGTATTTTTAATGCATTTTTTTTTTAATTTCAAGAAAAAGTTTTAGTTTTTTTCCTGAAACTTTTCTTTTTTGTTTAACTTAATTTACCTTCATTCCCTAAGCATCATTACAGTATACAAAATGTGATTTCCCATCCAGAATATATTGTATAGTGGCTTAATTATGCATGTTATTATAAAAATTTTCCATTTCTAGTATTTTTTTTACCCCTATTTCTGACTCTCTGTCCTTTCCCATCCTCTTCTCACACTATCTCTGGTGTC